AGCGCAGCTCCCACTGCGGGACTGCCGGTCCCTCTGCTCAGCACAAGGGACACGTGCGGCTCAGCTTCCTGCAGTACCTTTTGCAAGCAAAGCCATGGCCACCAAACCCCAGCCTGGCATGCAGTCCCTCCCTAGGAGAAAAAGGCTTCCTTAACAGAGGGCAGCCACGCACAGCCCAGCTCACTGAGCACCGTAAAACCCCACCAGTGGTACGCTGGGACACCGTCCCCTCCGGCGGGGGGGAACTCGCCCCCCTGCACAGCAGCAACGGCTACACACACCCATGGGTTAAATCCCCTGCAGCCAAGGAGTTAGCCCCAGATCCAAGCCCCCTGCACCCTTTGAAGCTGGGTTTCGCATAGGAACATCCCACCTTCCCTCATTCAGGAGCAGCTGGCACAGCTACTCAGTGCACCACAGAGCCTTTCAGCCACACGCTGCAGAGGGCAAATGGCAAGAGTCCGACTGCACCCCAGCTGCCCAAGCCTGCTCAGATGGCGCGGGTGCAGAAGTTCACCGGGAGTCCACGGCTCATGGGCTGGCATTTGCACAGCTGGAGTGCAGACTGGCTACAGTGGCATTAACATGCTTCCAGAGAATACAGCAAGGGAGCTCAATTAGTTACGGTAGCCTTGAGTTCTCCAGGAAATCATGTGCTTCCACTCCACGCAGGAGCTGGCGCAGCTCTTGCCTTGCTTTGAATTTAACCAGTGCAGCTCTTGCTTGTAGTGTGGTTTTGAGAGCAAGTGGGCAGTCATGGAGAGGCAGCCCCTGGGGCAGCTCCAAGCTGTGAATCTGTTTGAAACGGAGGAGGTTCAGGGACTGAAGAAAACGCAAAAAAAAAAAAAAAAAAAGACTCGACAATGGGCAATACCTTCTCTGTGTGGAAAGGTGGCTAGCACCACAGCATCACCCCTCCCAACTGCATCCGCACCAGACCTGCACAGGGTTGTCAGAAAGGAGCCCGGCACCAGACAACATGATGGGCACAAGTACAGGCAGCCTGTGGGCAGGCAGGGGCAGCTGTGGGGCCCCTTAGCCGCAGAGCCCCGGCTGTGCCGCGCAGCCTGGAGGAGCCATCGCGGCCAGAGCCCTGGGACCGTTCCCGCAGGGAACCGTTAGGATCCCATTATCGGGGTCATGCCCAGCCCAGGCCCACAGTGACACAAGAGGTCAGCATGAGGAAGGACCGGCCCCACGTGCCCTCGGCTGGCTGCGCTGGAGGACTTTTTTTTCAAGCTGAGCTGGCACTACAAAACTCCCAGGGCTCCTGCAGGCACCGGGCGCCGCAGATAAGCGGCTCAGGAAGGGCAGCCGAGATGGGAGGTCTGGGAGACACGCTCCCCTTCCCACCCTGCCCTCCTGCTCCCAGCAGGTCCCCGACTCCCTGCCACCAGGAGCCAGGCTGCGTGCCCCTGGGAGCTGATCTGGAGCTGGGATCCCTTGGCAGCACTGCAGTGTCCTCACAGGAGCCAAAAAGACCCGAGGGGCTGTGCAGAGCCCATCCAGGGGCCGGGCACTCGCCACGACTTGCCCACACTTGGCATCGGTGCCAGATGAGCCCGGCAGTTCAGAGAAAGGCCCCTGGCATTTCCTCAAAAGAGACAGACGGCTGTCTGCTGGGGCACAGACGCATGCCTGCAGCTCTGCCAGCACCGGGCAGGATCCTGCACAGGTCACTTCTTGTTCCGGGGCTGGGGAGCAGCCAAAACTGGCAACCCAAGCCGTGCAGCAGGGCCGTGATGGAGAGGCAACATTTCTGGCTGGGCAAGGGGCAGCGACGGCTGAGCTAGCAGCACATTAAATCCAAGCTATCTTTGTGTGTTAACCCACAAATAATAGCTTGGCACTTGCCTGTAAAATCCTGCTGGTAGAATTTTTGTGCACGGCTAAACATGCCCAAACACAGTGGCCCAGAGAGGGAGGGCTCCACCGCTCCCTCCTACCCGCCTCGGGCTGCAGCACGGCCCCTTCACAGCCTTACCGCATCCCTGGTCTCACTGCACCGCTGTTCTTCAAAGCCCCAACCTCCAAGCCCCGAGATTGCACAGGGGCCTCGCTAGGACAACGAACGCAATCACCTCCAGCCCTCTGCTGCCCAGGGAAAAGCATGCGCTGCTGAAGCTCAGCAGCCAGAGGAGCAAAGGCTTCTAAACCCCAAACTCTCCTGAATCGTGCTCCTGTGGGTTTATTGCAGTGTTTTTAATCTTCCTTACCTCTGTTCATGCTGGGTACAGGCCCTGCAAAAAAGCTTGTCTTACCTGTCGTGGTAGAGTTCAGAAGCAACAGCAAAGGAAAAGAGCTCGCTTGGGGCTGGAAGGGCATTCAAAGGCAAAGCAAGTGTGCTGCTTTCCACAGCTTCAGCAGGGCAGGAGCACGCTTTCAAACCGCAAGCTGCCAGGAAGCAGCTCAACAGCGTGGCACAAGCATGGCTGCAAAACAGGGCAACAGAAACGTCCACCTGAAACCCCCGCAAAGGGGCTCTGATCTTTGCCCAGCACCAACCCGCCCACCGAGGACCGGGGCAGCAGCTGGCTGGTGGGGCTCACGGGACCTTTCCTACTGCAGTTGGGCATCTCTCATACAAAAAGCTAATTACAGGAAAATCATTTTGAAGAGATCAAGTGGGATCAACGCCTTTCATCACTTGCTGCAGCGCTGACTGCTACCGGGACTGTGTTTACTGCGTGCCCTAGCAGCAGCACAGCCCTCCCTCCCCGCCCCGAGCGCTGGTTCCCATGGGCCAGGCTGGTTTCTCCAGCGGCTCCAGCGGCCTGTTGGGGAGGACTCGTGCTGTGCCACTCCGTTTCTGACCCCACGTTGGGCCAGCCAAAGAATATAACTCCCGTTGTGACATGTCTGGCTTGCACAGCCCTGCAGACGCGTGTATTTTGACTCAGGGTTTCTTGGCACATCAGAAAGTGCCTCTTTCATAATGCCTATGACTTCTTAAGCCCCTGGTGCACTAAAGGCAGTAGCTCTGTAACATTAATAGCCAGTTACTGGAATTGCACAGGTGGTGTCCATGGGAACAACACAGCCGGTGATCCCGGGTGACAGCAGAGCCACGTGTTGTTGCACCAGGACATGCCACCCCCCGCTGCCGCCTCCATCCCCAGCAGCTCTAAAGCAACCTCAGCTGTAGGTTGGGGCAGCTTCCCTGCTAATCCTCCTGGTGGGCCTCGCGCAAGCCAGAGACACAGCAGCCTCTGTGCCTGCCGAGGCTTAGCTGATCCTCCGCTCTTTGGGCTGCCCTCCCCGGGGTGGCTGCTCACGTTAGCTGTGCGCTTGGCGTGGGAATCGCCACAGGGCCAGCTAGCCCCGCCGCTACAGACCCTTCCCACCTGCCGAGTGCTTTTTGGCTGAAGTTTGAGCTCGGTAACTGGTTTTCCCCTCTGGTTTGCAGGATTTAGCCTCCGAGCGGCTGAATGGCAGAGGTAATACCCACGGGAGCTGGGGGCGCGCGTGCTGCCAGGCTGGGCCTGGCGACGCAGGGCCACGCTCCTCTTGTGTTGCAGGTCCCAGCACAAGACGCAAAGCCTCCACGGCGCTGGAGTCCTTCAAGCGGATTGGCATCCCCATCCTGGCAGCGGTGCTCAGCCTTGCCTGCCTGGTTACGGTCGGGTTCCTGGGTACGGCTCCTGCTCTCCTCTCCTCACTCCTCCTGCCGCTGCTGGGCACAGCCAGGGCTCGGCAAACACAGCTCTGGACCCAGGGCTCAGCTGGGACCGGCTCTGCCACCTTCTTGCTGAGCCCCCAAGCGCAAGCCCTGAGCCTGCCCAGCACCACAAGCTCAGCGCTGAGCTCCCCCTTTCCCTCTAGTCAAGGTTTATCTGGACTACCACTACTTCTTCTGCAAACAGTCCCTGAAGCTGGTGCCGCTGCAGCAGGTGTGTGACAGGCAGGTGGATTGTCTGCAGGGCGAGGATGAGGCCAGCTGTCCCCAGTGGGTCCCTGAGGGGCCACCAGCTGGTGGTGAGTCCAGACACCCTGCTACAGCTCTGGAGGGGCTGGGCTGCTGCAGCAAGCCTCCGCCTGCTAAAGTCACCTGTGACAAAGCTGACTTTGTGTCTGTCTCCAGCCCGTGTTTCCAAAGACAGATCCATCCTGCAGGTGCTTAACAGAAACACCGGAGCCTGGTCCTGCATCTGCCACGACCACTTCAACCTGGTGCTGGCAAAAGCAGCCTGCGAGCAAATGGGCTACAGGAGGTACACGGCTGCTTTCTCCACGCCCCTCTCGTCTGCTTTAGCTATCCCTCTCCCATCAAAGCTCTTTTTGACTGGGGCTCTGTTTGCACTGAGCTCTGCACTGACGGTTTCAGTCCATCCCCACCACGCAGAGTACTCTGTGTGTCCCTAGGAGCTGGATGGTCTCTGTGCTAGAAGCCAGGGCAGCTTCCCATGTAAGCACAGTACCGTGCCCAGCGTCTCCTGCTCTGTCCCCAGCCCACGGGCACCTCGCGCCCACTTACTTGCAGTCACCCACGCAGCAGGGCTGCCCTACGGCTCCCAACAGCATGCATGCGCTCACCTCACCAGAGCAGCCCCTCCTGGGGCATGTGCAGAGCTCAGCCCACACGCTCACTGCCAACAGAGCTCTCCTGGGGAGGGGTGCATGGCACCGCACTCCCCTTTTAAAGCCCCAGGAGAGCAGCAGTTGGCCGGGGGTGTGGTGCTGGGCCAGGGGTGTGGGTGCTGCACAGCTGAGGGCAGGGCTGGGTCCTTGCAGCTGCGATGAAGTTCCATGTCACCCACCTGTGTCCGCCTCATGCGCTGCCCTGAGCCAGCGGCAAGTTTGTAGTGCTGCATTCAACTAAAGCTGGTTAAAGCCGAGATTTGCGGAAATAGCTTGCTAGCCCTGCGTGTTTGGTATCAGCCCTGGATTAAGGGAGAGTTTGAGTTAAGTTAGGGGTATACTAGGGAGAAGATGGGTTCTGTTGTTTGAGCCCCTCTAGGAGCCTAGACTGAGCCCCAGATGGTATTTTCCAGTTCCAAAAAGTTAGGGATTGAGGCTTTGAGCACAGGCCCCCAATCTCACCACAGCTGGGACACCCCTGTGGTCCCCTGGGAGCTACCTGCCCCACACCTCCCTGAAGAGCAGGGAGTAGTCTCCCTTCCTTCAATACGCTCCTGTCCCCGGTCCTGAGCCCCATGGCCAGTCCCCCCATCCTGCCCCCGGCCCTTCAGGGCTGTGGCAATTCCCTCTTTTGGCATTACTTCGTCACT